TTTTAAATTTTATTTTATATTGTAATAAAGCTTGTTTATAATAATAATAAATATGTATAATAATCCTTTAAAAAAAGGCATGACATCGATACTTGCATCTCTCGAAATTTCCTCGAAGTTGACGCTTTTCCGCGATAAATTCTCTCGTTGCGCTAACTTTGTGAATAGCTATTGTATTGATAGCTCATTGTATTGATTTCACAGACGATCGTTTTGACAATTGTGTATCAAAAAGTTAAAAATATTATAGTGTAACAGTAGTATAATAGTATTATATTAATTTTTGCTCTTGTGTTGAAAAAGATAAATAGCGAAAAAAAATTAATAAATTTAAAATCGTTAAAATTAAAGGATATAAATAAAAGATAATAAATTGATAATATAATTATGTAAAATAAAGTTTCATAAATATATACATTTTATTATCTTTAAAATGCTTATGTTTTTAAATTATTACAATTTAAGATTAATGTAGTTAATGTATTTGAAAATAAGTGGGAATAGCCAAAAGATGGCGGCCTAATCAAAAGTTGCTTTTTCGTGACCAGTCTCTGGCTGCGTTCCGATATTTACTGCCAGTACTGAAAATCTATAATATACGTGACTAAGCTATATATTTTCTGTACTGGCAGTACTGAAGTGAATATCGGAACGCAGTCTCTTATTAGGCTGACTTTTCATACTGACATATGTGAAAATGGCTGGCATATGTAATATTTAAAAAAATATAATTTTATTATATGTATAAATATATATATAAAATGTATAATATATATATAAAATAATTAATAATAATAAAAAAATAAATAAAAAATAATAAAAAAATTAATAATAATATTAACATTAATAATAACAATAATAAAAAAATAATTAATAATAATAAATAATTTCATAATATTATATAATATCATAATAATTTTATTATATTATATTATTTCATATTATATATTTTCTTCAGCATCAATCAAGATTTCAGTCTCCATGGAAGCAGCTATCTTTGTGCTCTAATTGCTTTACTTCGCTGGTTGCAATAGCCGCAACAGGAAGTACGTCAAAATCAATGACGTCATAGAATTCAAGGCAGTATTTTCGGAGTGCACTGCTCTCTATCAGAACGCTATTCGTACTGACAGTACTCGGAGTGAATAAAAGAACGCATATTAGTGTCTCTATTGTTGTCCATCTTATATACAGAGCTTTCATTTCTCTTAGCGTATCTATGGTGTAACAATCGTGACCAACAATTTGGATCAGTACATCAACTCGTGACTTGTAGTCTGTATTGGCATCGACTGGTTGCCTCGGCCATATTGCAAGAGTAGTAGTAGTAACAGTGAGTCAGTACATGTCATTATTCAAGCAAAATTAGATTTGGTTAGTAATATCTATACAAAAAATAACAAAAATAATAGTAATATGCCAACAAAATAATAGTAATATATATTCTCTAATGAATTGATAACGAACTTATTAGAAATATTATAATCTTATTGTTATTTTCTTTTAAATAATTGAGAATAAATAGTGCATTACACAATAACAAAATATACAATAATGTCTTTTTTATCTTATGATCAAAATTTTTGTATTTTATGCATTTGATAATTTTTTCTTTCATATTTATTATTCTTGCGTGCATTTTGACAAACATGTTTGTATTTATAATTTACATTTAATATTTTAACCTCTAAAACAGGCAATTCACTTTTGCTGTATTCGAGCAGCATATTATTAGCGCTATCACATGTATCTTTATTTTAGATGTAAATTAAGAAAATGATTCGATAGAGCTAGTAACATGTTTCTCGATGCAGCTTTAGTGCTATAAAGTATTTAAGTGACCAATTGGGAAAAAAATTTATACTTTGAAATATTTAAGCACTGTGAATTGCAGTCGTAATATATGATTACAAATAATGACAAATTTTTTCCTTTTTTTTATTATGCATGTATAATTATAGATTGCCAAACGGTTAAAATGACAGAAGCAGCAATGGACAATTCTGGCAAACTTGTAAAAATGGAAATAGATTATAGTAGTACTTGTGATGCAAAAATTCCTGAATGCAAAAAACTTGCTTCTGAAGGAAAACTACATGATGCTTTGGATCAATTACTGGCTTTAGAAAAACTTACCAGAACTGTTAAGTATATTATAAATAAAAAAATGTTCACATATATTAATATAAAAAATTTGTTTTAAAACTTCTTTATATAGGGTGCTGATATGGCATCAACATCCAGACTTCTTGTAGCCATAGTTGAAATCTGTTTGGAAGCAAAAAATTGGTCAGCTCTTAATGAACATATAATTTTATTATCAAAAAGACGTTCTCAACTTAAACAGGCTGTTACGAAAATGGTTCAAGAATGTTGTACTTACATAGACAAAATGCCTAACAAAGAAACTATGGTAAAATTAATAGAAACTCTTCGTTCGGTTACAGAAGGAAAGGTAAATTTATTTTCATTGAAAAAAATTGATTAATACAATCTAAAAATTATTTGCAAATTATTTTAAAAAATCACTACTTTTTATGATTAAGTCTTTAAAACTTAAAGGTTGAAACGATTATATTTTGTATTGTCAAGAGTCATATAATTGATTTGTTTTAATATATTTTTAAGTAGCTATATATTTTAAATAATAAGAGCTAATCACATAACTAGATAAATTTTTTCGAGATTTTATTGATTTTAATATACTAATTATAAAATGTGTGTGTGTGTGTGTGTGTGTATGTGCGTGCGTGCGTGTGTGCGTGTGTATGTGTGTGTGTGTGTGGCACGCGCGCGCGTGCGTACATACATACAGGCACACACATATAAGATATAATTTATATTAAAATTCTTTATAATTTTTTACAAAGATATATGTAGAAGTAGAAAGAGCAAGGCTTACTCATCGTTTAGCCAAAATAAAAGAAGCTGAAGGAGATATTGCAGGTGCTGCAGCTGTAATGCTTGAATTACAGGTACTTATAATTTATAACAATAATAAAAGTTATAAAATTTTATATTAAATTATATTATATAAATTTATAAAGATTATAATATTAAATAAAATATTAAATAGGTGGAAACATATGGAAGTATGTCACGTCGGGAAAAAGCTTCTCTTATTTTAGAACAAATGAGACTTTGTTTAGCAAAACAAGATTTCATGAGAACTCAAATCATAGCAAAAAAAATTAATGTTAAGTTCTTCAGTGATGAAAATGATGAAGAAACTCAGGAATTGAAACTAAAATATTACGAGTATGTATATTATGTTTTCTATCTAAATTTGTTATATAAGTTATATAAGTTGTTATATAAGTTTTGCTAATCATATTACATATCTAGTTTAATGATGGAATTGGCACGCCATGAGGGTTGGCATTTAGAATTGTGTCGACATAATCGAGCAGTACTAGAAACTCCAGCAATTCGAGATGATTCGGAAAAGAGGCATATTGCACTTTCTCGAGCAGTTCTTTATCTTGTACTTGCACCACATGAACCTGAACAGGCTGATTTAACTCATAGATTACTCGCTGATAAGCTTCTTGATGAGATACCTACATACAAGTAATAATTATGATTGCTTCGAAATATTTAAAATATCTGTCTCTGAAAATAATGGATTAAAAATTTACTATAGGGAATTATTGCGCTTATTTGTTAATCCTGAGTTAATAAAATGGTCGGGATTATGTGAAATTTATGAAAGGGATCTCAGATTAACTGAAGTTTTTTCTTCTTCAACTGAGGAAGGATGCAAACGATGGACAGATCTACGAAATCGTGTTGTAGAACATGTAAGTTTATAATTTATATTCATTAAGAATTTGAAATATAAGTATTAATAAATATATATTAAGTTATATCATGGGATTGAAAATTCTTGTTAAGTTATATTGAAAATTATATATTAAAAATTGACGATTGTGAATTGGAATTGAAATTATTGAAATTATATATCTGTTGGATTAAATTATAATTTTCATACAAAGTTTACTATTGAATAATTGGCTTAGCAATTTTAAATAATGTAATTTGATGTTTTATAAATAAATAAATATGATGGTGAACACCATATTTATTATATTGACACGTTTATAAAAAAATATTTAAACATT